CAGCACGGGAGGTTTTTTGGATCATGGGAGGTTTTTTGGATCACGAGAGATCCCGGGGTCAAAAAACTCACATAGAAAAATACAGGGTGGTGCATCTGGTAGCCGTGCACACTGCCCAAAACCGGAGCCTGGCTGGCCAGAGCCACACTCTAGCTGCTGGCCCCAGCCTCCACTACCCCACCTGGGATAACTTGCCGCATGCCAAAGTGTGCGAGACACAGGCGTTCCCTGGGGACAACTAGTAGTGGCACAAGGTGTACCACTGCTACTTGCACCAGGGAACCAAACGTCCGCACTCATCTGGATGTAGCCCTACAGGGCAAAAGCCTGGGGCAGCACACATACTGTGGATGGTAAGATAAGCATTGTGGACCTGATTCCCCACTGTGCTGTCTGCAAAATGCTCCCAGCTCTGAATGGCAATAGTTTACAACTCCTGTGTGCATTTTAGGCAGAGGTTAAGTAATCACAGGAGGTGTGCAGGAGTGGGGAATCATGCCCAGAGGAAGCAGAACTAGCCTACTGGTTCAGTGAATAATGTGGTGGGAGCCTGTACACTTGAGCTCTTCACTTCTTGAGGCTACGGAGAGACAAGGTGATGTTTTCGCCTTCAGACAGAAGATCCTGGCTCCCCAAGGTCCGGACTTGCACCTGGCACAAAAGTAATATCATAGATTCACGGGAGGCTGTGAATTCACACTCTGCTACAGGGGCAGAGAAGTGACTATGGCTTCTATTAGAAGAAGAGTGTCTTTTGAAGGGAAAGTGGAAAATCATCCCAGAATAAGAGCTTTAGGGTTTGTTGCTTAGTTTGGCAATATCCTGAGTTAACTGCTGGGGGGAGGTGAGAGAAAAGCAAAACTTCTTAGCGAACACACACCTTCATCAAGATCAGCGCAGCCATGAGGGCTACCATGTATGGTCAGCTGCCTGGGGCTAATGCAAGAAACAGAGGCCTAAAATAAACTAAAGGAAAGAACCACCCTTTCTTAATACTCCCCACCCCGATTCCCCTCCCCACAAAGTATAAGGTCACATGCACACTGACTTCACAGCCTTTTAACATGAGTTTTCTTTGACAGCGAAACTGTATAAAGCATGCAAACACCTCTGAGAAACCAATGAGTCCCACCAAAGAACAGCCACATGGATTTGTTAACTTCCTAGATCTTTTCTGTCCCTGTTACAAAAAGGAGGAGAGAGAAGAGCAATGCAATTTAAGGAGTGATATCAAAAGTTCCTTAGAAAACTGATGCTGCATCTTTAAATCCAATTTATTCTCAAGCTGTTTCCCCCCACCACCTCCCCCCAGGTTCACTTCTTAAATTCTTTTTTTTTTTTTTTTTTTTTTACTTTTTTAAA